TCTATTATTATTTTTTATTATCAAAATTCAATATATTTTTTTTGTTAAACAGTTTTTTCATTAATCATTGAAAGATAATGAATATCTCTATTGAAAATAAAAGTTTTTAAAGTATATGTTATTATAATCTATGTCATTGATATATAACTGAAGGTGTTACTTTCAATAAGAAATTGTTAGTTACATAACAATGGAATAAGAAGGCAAAGAAAACAGTTGATAATATATCATATACTGGATATAAATGTGGATTAGTAAATTAACCTGAATGATTATAGACATTAATCAATCAATAATTTCATTTACGGATATACTTTACAAATATCATAAGATTAAACTGGTACAACTAAAAATTGCAATTAGTCTACCATCAGTCATGAGTACTGATAGAGGTATGAGGGCAGTTATCACTTACCGGTTGCCCACACCGTGGAAGGGTTCTTATGGAGGTACCTGAAAGGGAAATTGGATTAGAGGTGATCTCAGTGACCTGAGAGCGTGACAGCACAGTTCAAGGAACAACTGTTTGAGGTCGGGCACACACGACCTTTTTGTGGGTAATTTTCGTGTTAGATCTGTATTTATTGGGACCTTACCACTGGGGACGGAAAGGCGAGGTGTGCATTTTAGGGTCGACCATTTATAACCCCACCCCTCCTTGTGGGAAGGCAGCATCACTGTCATGCTGGTTGTCTGAAGGAAACACCTTACTGCTGTCACACCTCTGTATAATCAGCAGTACGACTTCGCCCTTAGACCTTGGGTTAGCTGCTTTTAGTTCCATCACTCTTCAACAGACACGTCCGGCATGAAAGAACCTTGAGGAACGGTTGTACTAGTCGGTATAGGTTGATTGGTTTATCATGGTAGGTAAGCCCGACTACCACGTCAAGGTAACAACAGCGGTCGAGTTACATCATTAATTAAGAAAAGAATAAATAGTTTCAAGAAAATTGATAGGCGTTGGTTTAAAATGTATATTATTTGAATGTAATTTTAACTTTCGAGATATCAGAACTCAGTAGTTCGGTAGATAACGCGATGACGTCTGGAGCGAACGGTACTGAGTTCGAGTCCCGGAGTGAACATCAATTCTGAGATGCAGGTGCATTCAGTTCCGAATAGGGCGAAGTGCGCGTCAAACTGGATCTCACTGTTAGCCACTACCCATCTTTACTCAGAATGCTTGTGAATTAAGGCAATATCGAGGCAATACGCACAGTATGCACATATGCCAACAAGAGACTGATCAATTACAGTCTTCAATATCAATAGGAAGATTCAGGTAAACAATACCAAGTGAATTTATATACTTTCAATAAACAGAAGCCTAAAAGCGTATAGTGTAACAATAAACATCAATGAACTTGGATGACGATTTTATAGGGTATTCGTAAAAATGCATATGAGAACATAGTTTTCAAACACACAAATGAACTAAGTAAAAAATGTGTAGGTGATATAGCACACATTGATACAATTCACCGGGTCTCTGCTATATCTGAGTCCATATATTTTCATATTTGGAATAAAAATAATCTGATATTAATCAACATATGCTCACTAGTGACGGTTTGAAGAGGTATTTCCTGGAATTCTAGTGATAAGCACTGACCAATGGATTTCAACCGGGTCTTCTGAGAGATAGTAACTCACTGATGACAATGGTGGATGTGTCGCTCAATTTCGTGGATTGATTGAAGCTAGATATTAACACCGTTGGATGCCGGACGGCTCAGTGGTCTATTGGTTAATCGCTTGCGTGCGAGACCGATAAGTCCTGAACTCCAATCTCGCGAGGCGGGATCGTGGGTGAGCACTACTGAGAAGTGCCACAGTAGAACGAATCGGTCTTCCAGTGCTTCTATGGTGGTCTTACTTCAATTGATTCATGATCTCAACTATTAAAATAATAACCATAGCTAAAAAAAACACTAAAATACTGTTCTAGATTCTTTAATTTTCGAGTTTAATGAGATAATATTTAAGCCATTAAATATAAATATCCATGGTATGCAACTGACGGCGATATAAAGGTTTAATTTATAAACATTTTGTTTAAAATAAGATGATAATGTAATTTATCTTCCAAGTATGTCATAGGTTATGAGTTGTACTTTTATGTTTGAAGGATTTTAATAGTATCCAACTGGTAAAACTAAGGCGGATGCCCAATAACTAAATTAGATTAGAATACCTTTTGTTCCCTAAGGATCCTGCATCCGATATGCACCATCAGCTTGAAATTAGGATTTTCCAACTCCATGTGGTATATCCTCAGTATCCATCAACTCGGTTTAAGCACCGCGCATTCGCTTCACATCTGCCCATTTATGAGAACCACATTTGTCACCTGAAGTTAATTAAAAATACCCTATCAGAGGCTTCAAATACTCGGTCATATGGGAATATTTTGAGAGGAGAAACGGATTCTGTTTTATCCTAATGAAGAATAAATGGATGGCAACTACTAAGAATTGATTATGGACTGTTGTTACATATATTCTTTCTGGATAACTGTTAAGTAACCATATTATATGCATATTTATATTCCTGTATTATAAGCTTCCATTTGATCGATTGACTAATATTATACGACTAACCATTCCTAACTTACTCCCGATTCATTAGTTACAGTCTCAGACTCATAGCCACTTTTGGCTTAAACTTGTATAGTTATTGTTTTCTATTTTATGGTATGATGCGGTCTGACTTGCCTGAATATCAACTACGTATTTCTGAAATACATTATGCATGTAGTGGGAGCTCTGATTGTGTTCTTGTCTTAAAGGGCAAGAAGAATCAATAAGGACTCTAGGATACTCGTGCTGGTTAACGCACCATTAATTTGGCACAGTACCAAGGTCACGTAAGTCGGTGTCCCAATTGGCAATTTAGTCACGCGATATTTGACAGGGGAAAAGACAACACTCTCCTTACCCTCTGAAATACCATGACATTTGAGAGCAATTTATGACACGGCGCTTTGGTATGAAAGGAAACTGTATGGGACTGGCATTTGTCAGTCTATCGTGACTCCATGACCATGGTCTTGGACATAATCGAACTCAGTGCCTTGAAAAGTCATCAGAGATGGCTTAGAAGAAAAGTCAGTGGCGATCCTGTTGTAGTTTCCTCTTACATTGTTAATTGAAAGTCCATTAGACAAATCAGGAATGACAAGTTACTATGATAACATAGCATCCCAGCTGAAGCACTAAAGGCGAATAGAGGAAGCTTCAAAGACTCTCCATCCTCTTCATGAAGATTTGGAATAAAGATCAGGTTTTAACAGACTATAAAGAGGGATGCCTAATCAAGATATCACAAGAAAATCTTGGTTGAGAGTAGTACAGAGGGATCATACTACTGTTAGTGCCAGATTGTTTTTAACAGTGTTGCTAGACCGAATGAAAGACTTAGTAGGCACCCAGTTTCTAGACCAGAAAAATGGCTATCGTAAGGATAGACAGTGTACCAACTACATAACGACACTGTGAATCATGGTTGAACGACCCATGGAATGAAATTCACCCATGTCAGCTTACTTGATTATGAGAAGGCATGCGGTAGCGTGGACCACTTTGTGGAACTGTAGTGGTTGGCACTGTCAAGCTTACACAGATTTTTCTAGCGTATGGACAGACCAATTTATTTGTTCTTAAGCCACATTTTGACCTCGTTGATTATTCGCTTATTAACCCCAACTTTTTATATGATCGTATGTATGATGATCGCTTACCCTATTCATTACGTGTCTGTAACATATTTTTGGTCTGACTATAGATATTTGAATTACGCTTGCTTAGATCAAGTTGGATCTCTCTCTCTCCACTGCGCGTTGGTTTGTCCTTATATTTACTCAACGATATTTTCCACTTCGTTTCGTTTTTTTTATTGTCTGTCCGGATCAATGGGTCTAAGAAATATACAAATCTAAAATTCATTTTCATATTTGTCTTATTTTATTCCGTTATTCTCTAACGCGATATAAATATACGAGGGTTGGTGGCATACGTACCGCGATAACGATCATCATACGACCTAACTGGAGACAGATACATGGCAACTAGAGAATCCTATTTGAGATTATGGAGTACCCGAGATCGTTATCATACGGAGTTTCTACGACGGACTAGGTCGCAGTTGCATGTGTGAGGAATCCCACAAATCCATTCTAGGTGAAGATTGATGCTAGACATTGGTGACTGCTCTTATCTTTTCCTTTTCTTCTGGTGGTTGACTGGATTATGAAGACTTCCACATATCAGAAGCACGGAATGCGGTGGACATTTCAGATGACACAGACCCACTGTATACACGACAGGTGCGGATAAAGAAAGTGAGTGTCGAGGTGGCTTCATCAAAAGTATGCTTCAACATTCATAAGAGAAAAAGCAAAATCCTAAAGTACAGTGGAGCCAGCACTAACCGAATCACACCTTTGGGAGGTACCATTGATAAATGAGGATGATCCGATAAACTTAAGGCATGAATTGAGGAAGTGAGAGCAGGATTCCTACATTTGAAGAACACCTAGAACTCAAAACAACTGTCAGCCAATACCAAAGTTACGATTTTCAACACTGACGTTAGAAAAGTACGAAGCTTAAACTTGGAGAACTACCACCAATATCACCAAAAACGTACGGGTATTTAGAAGCAAATGCCTACGCAACATACCCAAGCTCCATTAGCCAAAGACTATCAGTGATAACCTACTATGGCAGACAACAAACGAGCTGCTCGTTGAGTTAGTCAAGAAAAGACACCAGGATGGATGGGAGACTTTAAGGAAACCATGAAACTGTATCATAAGACAAAGCCTAACTCAGAATCCTCAGGGAAAGCTGAAAAGATAAACAAAAGAACATATGATGATCGGAATTAGACGTAAAAATCAAGATAGTCAATAGTGCTAGGCAACAACTAGATAGGATAGACCAGAAAAGTTTCTCGGAAAGCCTTGGTAGGCATCATCTTCATCAAGAGGAATAATAGACTTAAGTAAGTTATCTAATTTAACAAACAATACATTCAATTTAGACAAAAAATGCGCGATTTTAAATTATATAAGCGTTTCTTTTGTTTGATTAAAAAAAACAACGGAGTCAGTAGTCAACCTTCCTGTTAGAAATACATAAATAAATATAAAGTTCATATATTATTCAATGAATACAGATAATTAGATAAGATAAATAGATAAGTAAATAATAATCGAAAAGAAAGAAAGGAACAAAACCTGAATATAATTGAATATTATCATTTAAGTAATAATATTTGAGTACAATAAACAAATACAAGTACACGTATCAATGCATGGATACAGAGAAAAATTTTTAAAAAAAACTTCCTTAAAAACATTGGAAAGATAAATCGATCGAGTTCCTTTGAATTACACACATACAATTCCATACTTTCTAAATTCATGATCACAACAACAACATCCTGACCAAACAAGAAGACAAACAAAACAGAAAGAACCAGGCTATAACCCGCAGGAAAAAAATTTAGAGGCAAACAAAAAAAAATCGGAAAATATCGTGATTTTTTATACTAGGAAAACAGATCGATAACAATGAAGAAAATATCTTTGAGATGAGAAACATTGAAAAAACAAACAAAACAACGATAGATCGTAACAGTAAATAAACATTTTTTTAAAAAAAAGAAATAAATAAATGCAGATATAATAGTTATAATGGACGAGTATGTAGGATAGACATATAATAGACATATGAATGTGATGAGGTATACACACTGTCATGTTAAGAGTGTACGCGTACATAGATAGACAGACAGACAAACGCAGGGAAATAAGGAAAGATTAGAAGAAATTCACCATAGATACACACACTACTAACGCAAGAATACTATTATTATTATCTTTAACAACAATAACAAACATCTCGAAATACAGTAACTTTTAATATTGATTAAGGAGAATAAATTACAACTGATTGTTCTAAGAATCAGAAAACAAAATTTTTATTCTTAATATATAGATGTGTCCGCTGTTAGCAAAAGAAAAGAATATATTTCACTAGTTATACCATTTTCTATTGAAATTATATACGTGGATAATTTATAGAGATATGACTAGAGTATACGTCTTAAAAAAACAACAACAAACAACAGCATCAACAAAGAATAGAATAAAACAAGAAATCATGAACTTGATTGAATACATTCATAAGTTGATATCATGAGTCAATTGAAGTTAGACCATCATGGAAAACCTGGAAGCACTAGACAGCAAGTTTTCCATAGTGATCTACCTTTAATTGACTCATGATCTTAACTATTGAAATTACAATAATATCCACAATAAAACCCATTATGACATCCATAAAAGTATACATATATATATGCATATTAGTGAAAGATCGACTAGGAAGTATACAAGATATTTGATAAGAATTTTTCTTGATTTTTGTTGTTGGTTGATTTTATTAATGAAACATAGAACGAAAAAAAACAATTTTTAGGCAAAAAAAAAAGAAACGATCAATAAATGAATATTAAATATGATTGCACAGGAATATTTAAAGGAATAAATGGGGTGGGGGATAAAACAATTTTTTTGAAAAAAAAGTCAGCTGTTCTATGCTAAACAGTTACTTTTGTCATGTTGCTTTTTATATTGCACATTGTATATTCTGTTAATTAGTAGTAGTTAATCAGAATAAAATGCATTGATAAAGTGAGTATTGCACATTATGTAATTGAATAAATGCAAACAACATGCAGAAGTTATTGATATTTTAATACACATATAATGAATTCACTTATATAATATATAGTGAATCTGTTTGCCGCCTTTAGAGATCCCAGTAGAGTGTAATGGTTTACAAAATGATAATTAAGAGAAAAACTCATAAACATATCGGCATGAAGGCAAAATTAACAGGAATGGTAATTTTATAGGAAAAAATCAATGAATTGTTTACATACGTTAATATTACAAATTTCAATTTATGTGTATATTTATGGAAATGTCATGGGAATAACTTTAAATAAAAGACGTTCTAGAAGGAGAAAAAACCCCGAAAGAAACATTCCTCAAAACATATATGCGTATGAGTAGAATAAATCAATAGTTTTGATAATAATTTGAGCGATGTAACATGGAACTACTAATATTTTGAGAAATGTATGCGTCACGATAAAGGTAGTGGTGATAAAATGACTAAATATGAACAATGATGAACATAGAGATACAGATCATAGAAACATTAACATCACAAATATATATATTGGGGCCTGTGTGTTTACTTTTGCGATGATGAGAGAACAGGAAAGAGGTAGAATCCGTCCATCAAAACAAATCTATATTTTACGGACGAAAACGGCGTTTGGCACATGTTTTTAATGTACAACGACGACGACCGCGTTGATGATTAGGTAATATTTTATCAAAGGATTCACGAGATTTCGAACGAGTACCATAATGTGATGATGTAATGAGCACATTACTATTAGGATGTGAGGATGATGCTTTACAGATATATTTATTACTATCTGATTTTGATTTACAATGTCGTCGACGACGACGCCGATATGATGATTTCAATGATGGTGTTTTATTGTTAGACGATGAATGATCATTACCACTATCAAGGTAAAAATGATGATTTTTTAAAGTATCCTCGTCAGTAAAATTTATATCATCTTGAGTTTTTAGAAAATCTTCAAAAGTAGGCGATTCAGACCGTTTAGTTATACTTAAACATTTTCTTGAGCGTCTTGTTGTTTGACAATTTTGTACTGGTGGGATTGAATTATTAACAGTAATATCCGATTCAGTTTTGATAAAAGATGACTGGTAATAAATGTCATCAATATTCACATGTGAATTATTAGAAAAATCTTCATCAGTTTTATTAATCATAGGTTGTGTAACCCCAACATTGAGATCAATTTTTTCATGGTCTAAACTTATAGAACATTCTAAAGAATGATTTTCAAACAATCGCACAGCATCATTGGTAGTAGTGGAATTGGTGAAATCAGTTAATTGACTTTCGATTGTATTAGTGGATAGTTGTGCTTTTGAAATCACCGATCTAGAAGATGAAATGTTGTGCTTTATGTGAGTTGTGGCACTTTGAGATGACAATGTAGAACTGTTGGATTCTGTCGAGGAAGAAGTCAGATCCAATGGAGATAGTGGGCTGATATCTGTTGGTTCGCACTGATCTGGACTTGATGTAGGGATAGACAAAGTATTATTAACATTCAGTAGTGATGAATTACTAGAAGCATGAGAAGAGAAAAATATCATGTATAAAAGTTATGTGATGAATATTATGACTATTACTACTCACTAATATTCTAGGAAACTGACTGGAGACGAAAGCGAGTCTTAATGTATAAGCAGGATTCAAACTATTGATTTACAAATGAGCGAACTTGATTAAATTAAGAAATGATTCGAAATCCCATCTCACCTAGTAGTTAACTCGATCAGTCGTAACATAAAGTAAACTTCAGCATAAATATCCACTGGCTAGTTTCCGAATTTTATATCCACATAGTAACAGCAAATATTAAACAGATGAATATCGAATAAGTTAGAAAAAATATTAGTAGTATTGATGACAATAAAAAATATAAGCGTCGAACAGATGGCGTGAAACAATGATTACACCTGTGCCACTATGACTAAATTCGAGACATATCACTTATAAGGCATTATTATCATTCAATCACATGTGACAAATTAACGTTCAAAACCTAATAAGGAAGCATGAATATGGTAAAATCTTGGACTGCTAATTTGAATTCAATTGGTTCAAAGATTTACGAGACCTAAGTTTTCTTTTACGTTTTCCGTATTCACCAACCGTATGTGTACGCATAAAAATTAACAATATTATCGCAGATAATCATCAACCATGGTCGACTGATTAGGGTTGAACATAAAACATATCCCAAGTCTTGAAAAATACATGATCAAACGATTAACAAGTGGATACATTGAATAATCCCATAGTTGTAATCCCTTAAGAGAAGAAAAACGCTTACTGTGTGAAAGAGGAACATTTGAGTGCCGAGATTACCTGATTATTTAAAATCAGTATATTACTTGGAAAGTTTAGCATATTTCGTATTAACCATCAATACGATTATTTCGTAACTTACATTTATTATTTACTTTAGCAGACAATGACCATCCACATCAACTGGGCGGTAGTCATCACATAACAGCCTTTACCGTATTACCAATCAAAAAATATAAACTTGACTAAAATACACCAAATTATCCCTATGATTGGGCTAAAAGACACATTTATGTAAATATTTCAGTCCAAAGGGAGTCCAGTAGTGGACTGAACAGTTGTGGTAACGTCTCACACCATGAGGCCAGATTATGCGAGTCTGAATCCCACAGGGAGCATCAGCCCTCTGAAGATTGTAATTATCTCTTCCTGATAAGTGCCAACTAGCATGATACATAAGGTTAGGGTTTGCTGATAACTACCTTGATATAAGTAGGGGAGTGTTTGCTTTTGATCTTGAATGTTCCATAGGATAAGACAACTCAAATTATCGTGCTTGAAGATGATTAATGTGTACGTTTTTTAATACTTCTCATTACTTTATTGTTAGTTACTGTGATGCTAGGTGATCTAGACTTCGTGCAAATTGGAACTGAGATTCTCTCTGTGAAATTAGAATCTATGTGCTATAGAAAGAGACGTTAACACATTGAGCGCAACACTGGTTAGAGTAAGAGTGAACTGAAAGTTAAGGGCGGCAAATAAAAAAGTAGCATCAGTTCATGAAGTAACTGACCATTAGTTTGAGTTGTGCTGATGGATGCAGATTAACTGGTTGGAATCTGTGAGGTAAACACGATTAGTCGGTTGGAGACGTTGGGTGACCTAGCTCAGAAACTATCACTGTGGCGCAGATGAATTCATTGTATTTTCCTTTAAACCTTGAGTTTAAAAACGATTTTACTTGGCGAACGCATTCCTTCTTTTTAGTATTGATCTGACTCTATTGCTATCTATATTGCTCATTTCATTTTATTTTGATTATTAGATATAGCAAATTATGCTAACGGATATTTGTGACAGGTTATGGGTGGTTGGAAGTATTTCCAGTGGGAATTTGTGTTATTTAAAAGTATGAAAACTTATGTCAGTTTCTATTACATTTAGGTTCAGTTAAAATATGATTTTTATTACATAGCCTAGTACACAAGAAATATTTTTATTTTATTTTGCATCCAATAGTAGTGTTTATAGAAAGTTCAAGACCAAATTGTAGACAATGACTAGCTAATCAGCATAATGAAGTGTTAGTTTTATCAATCTGAATGAAACGCAACTCACTAACTAAATACAAGTATATGTATTTGACTTAGAGTTACAATGTGTGCGTGTGTATGACCAAGCAATATGAAGTAGATAAAGGATTTGAATCAGTAACTTAATAATTGAACATCAAGCACTCTAATAATTAAGCTATTGTAAGTGATCACTGAGCAGTGATTAGTGTTATGTTTGTTTAGGCCTTCAATGCTGAATGAAATCTATAGATAAAGTCGGAATGTGGTCATCAATTTAAGAGACTCGATAGCGCAAGTATTATGTTGAGGTGCTAAATGGTCTAAAGTAGCCAGTAGGAAATTCTCGACCTAGGTTTTGTGCTATTTGGCACTCGTCACCAAAACATACCTAGGACTACGAAGTCACTGATGCTCCCTATGAGATTCAAACTTGTGTCACAGTTTGATACATTACTACCAAGCTAGCACGAAACCCGGGTACGGGATTTCCTGCCAATTACTCATATGAACCCAACAAAAGAATCATGTATACATACATATATTACTTACTGTAATCGAGAGTTATCTAAATGAACCTCTTGAAATAAAGAACTTAAATTTGACTTGAATCTATTGATACATCGATTACGAACGTTTATATCTTTAGATCCTATGGGAATTATAGTGGAAAAATTCATTGGAGATTGTAAAATAGAACTAGTTAATGAAATTGGAATAGGTTGATCATGTGTATGATTAGGATGAGCAGCAGCAGGGCGTAGCAGAACTGAACCACCACCACCACTACCATTCACAGTAGAATTTAAATGATGTCTATTCATAAAACTTGATTGATGAGTAGCTCGAATTTTACTATGTGTTGCTAAATGTGATTTTAAATTTGTCGACTGAGCAAAACGTTTACTACAACCAGGCTGTGGACACGGATACGGTCGATCCCCAGTATGAATACGTAAATGAGTACGTAGATTGAAATCCAAAGAAAAACGTTTACCACAACCCTGAAATAAGAAACAAAATTTTTTTGTTGATAAAACAGGTATGTCATTTCTTTTTTACAATTAGAACTAGTAACACATTTAGATGAACGTTTATATGCAAATGTGAAGACATTTATGTACTCAACACCTGTAGTCACGCATTTATTATGTCGTGACTACTCATTTATTAAGCAGCAAGTGAAATCAGAAACTGTGGAGTTGGGTCCAAGATCATGTAACCTGGAGGTTAAAAGTGGAGTGTTTCGACAACTCATTTATGTAACTGAAAGTTTAGAAAGATGAATGATATTCTCAAACACATTTACTGACAGTATTTACAATACTCTTTCGTAGTTACACTTTGGTATATTCAAAAGTATGGGTTGCCCTTAAGGATTTAAATTTGTAGCTTATGGTCTCACAGTCATATAATCAATCTATCTAGTAAGGATGATTCTCAAGGACAGTATTCTATTCAATATAGTTCTATCAGATCATGACGATAGGGAAAAGAGACCACTGCGTTAACACAGCATGTACAGTCAAAACGCATAGGTTATGAACCGCATTCATTATAAATGCTGACATTAGACTAAATCACTTCAAAAACCTTCAAAGATTGAGTACAGTGCAAACCTATGACATAATGCTTAACTGTTGGGTATTTAAACTAATGGTCTACAAGCCCACGACATTTAAAAGTATGAACCCGAATTCCCTGTTACTTAGAATTTTGAAACTATTCCATTAGTTTGGCTTTCTACACTATGTTACAATAAATAAGTAGTGTTTGTGGTGTATATTTCTATCTTCAATCGTCATACGCAAAGTAGATTCTGACACGTACATCGGTTCAAGCTGCCACACTCTATTAACATACCGGAATGAAATTGTCAAAAAATATTCCAGGGTAGTAGAGGTAGTAACAACAGTATTAATGGTAATAGAAGAGATCAGGCGTTGAAGATACAAGTTGAAAAAAAATTACAAAAAAATATTGAATATAGAAGTTTGGGATCTAAGAGAAGACAAAGAGTGAATGCACCTGTGCCAATGCAACCGATTTGAAGCCATGTCATCCAGTCTCTAAAGATTGACCCCAATAATCGCGAGGATCCAAACCAGGTAGTCTGTACCTAACTATATGGCTCAGTCCAACAGTCAGTGTCTTTGCTGACTGAAAACAATTTCTATTTGAATCCTATATCAATCCAAAGAAACAAGATTCTTCATTCAATGAAAAGTCTATGCAGAGTGAGTGACCGCAGATAGTAATTGGAGACTGATTATCTTTTATTATCGTGCAATAGAACTGAAGAAAAATGACTGACGCTTTTGTCGAATTTTGTTGTAATCTAATTGCTCTGAGCAGAGTCTACCGGAATCATATCACATGTTTTGAGTTTTTCAAATTGTTGAAAACGTGTCTTACAGTCTCAGTTTAATAGTCAATATATTAAAATATATTATAGGGCAACTCATACTTCTGAGGGGTCCAAACTTAAGAAAAAAAAATGTCCGGAACTTTGTAGTTTTCAACAGTTTGTTTACTTGAAATTCAGTCTTTGCAATGAAAACCGTATTCCTATTGACCTAATCTCCAACATTTACTGAATTAAATGATTATAATTATGACTCAAAATGCAAAAACAAATGCTTACATCAAATGCGCATTGATAAGGCTTTTCCCCAGTATGAACAAGTTGATGACGTTTCAATTTGCTTGATTCAACAAACGCTTTACCACATTCTGCACAGATATGAACGCGTGGACCATGGGTATGTAAATGTTTACGCATTGCAGCTGTATCTCGAAATGTTTTCCCACAACCAAGATGAGGACAGAATACAGTACGATTTGATGTGAAATCAGATGGGATTGTAGCGGTTACAACTGATGCTAAATCACCGGGATTATTGCCTCCTAATGAATTATGATGCATTGTAGAAATATAAAATCCATTTTGACTGTATAAAAGAGAAGATTGTAAATCTGTTGATTGCATAACGGAAGAATGTGTCATAAAATTTATTCCTTCACTTTTCAGATATGTGGCATCTAGATAGACAGAAAATAGTAATATTACATGTTAAACTATAGCTACATGAACATTAAAACTACAAATTTACAGCACTAATATATATTCATCAAGTTATCAAACGTTAAACAGGCCATCCAGTTCCCTACATCAAAGTAGGCAGATTGGGGTTCAAACTATAGATTCAATAGTTAAAATTTAAATACTTCGAACATTAAACCATCACCCATACGTGTAAATAAGTGGACGTATTTGGCTGTTGCCGTTCATTAAGTGCTAAACGTCCTATGAACTTGTTTCCTATGGTTGTATTCATGGTATATATTTTCACATAGCCGTAAAGTGTCAACAAATCCAACCATTTCAGGACACTGATTATCAAATTTAGGGAACATAAGCAAGTCTCGGGGCCAAAAGGAAATATGGAGCAGACTACTGAACAGGATACTTTACCTAACACAGACAGGTGTGGATCATGTCTGTGACATACGTGGCCAGATTTTCAAAAGGAGTCAAGGGGACTTTTGGCATTCGTGTCGTTGAGGTTTTGTCAGAGATCAAATCACTAGGGGTGATAAAAATGTCAAAATAAGTTAAGTTTTCAAAAATATTTTACTTTCTACGACTACATTGAACACTAATGCAGATCAATTCGAAGGCCCCCAAATGCTCTGGTACGGCCGAGTGGGGTGGGCTCGCCCTCCCTCTCGAAATGCTCTCATATGGCCACGCATAAATAGCCTCTGCCAAGGAAGTCCTACTCACTGCCTTCTCGCACCACGGGTGTTGTTTACGAAAATGAGAGGACGAAAAGCGAATGTCCGGCGCTTTAACCGGATCCCAAATCAATGGTGGACATGGGCTCCAATATCCTGAGGGAACAAATGGCGTATGAGCCTATCGTTGGTCACCGGCTACCATGGGGCTGCATCTCCTTACGATGCTCCACTGCCTTGTGGGTTAGACCTTCAGGTCGAAGGCTCGGGGAGTGGCCTCCTAAGAAAACCACCTTCTTCGGTTTGGGCACCCGGGCAGTATCACAGCCCTCACACATATCGAATGAGATTTGTGTTGCGCATATGTATTTGGTGCCTCCTTGTACCAATATCTATGTGCTAAAATAATAATTAGAAGGCAAAATTTTGCATTTATAAGGAAACGTATCCCAAACATTTTGATACGTTTGTGTGAGTGCTCATCTGTTTACATATATAAATGAATGCCCAAATAAAGTTTTGGATAAAACAGATGGTTGAACAAACGGGATCGGTGGTCATTGACTGATTAATTAAAGGTTAAATATTGAGTAGAACCGTAGACTTTTAAGGCGTAGCAAACACGAAGTTACGTGCATGCTTATGTCTCCAGCGTAAAGAAGCTCATGTCTACAGTGATATTGGAACAATAAAGATCCATGATAAAATCAAAGGATATGTACAATAATCAGTTGCAAGATTATAAGCAAAAATATCTTTATCATGTTGTCAGGATTAGATTAAAATTAGGATATTTATAACCAAAATAAGTTAAAAAAATTGAACGAGATACAGCACAGTTAAAAAAAACTGTGCATTTCGAATTACTAGCTACAGTATATTTTCAGTGGTAATACATTATACTGAACTAGGGTGATTTAGTTGTGAAGAATTCATTGTCATTTTGGACATTGTGAGCACTTATTTCTAGAAGTGAACTTTTCTAAAAATTATTTTACAAGTACTAAACTAATTCATTTTGATAAGTTTGTGAACGGTTGTTAGTGATGAAACATATCCATAAATGGTACAAACTTGTAAAATTACATCAATTTATTTTAATATTTACCACTGTACTGTATGGGGTGGAAACTTAGAGAACTACGAAAGCCATCATACAGAAGATACAAGTGTTCATTAACAGCTGTCTACGCAAAATACTTCGGAACCGTTGGCCAAACACTATCATTAACAACCTACCGTGGGAGAGAACAAATCAGATCTCAGCGGAGGAAGAAATCAGGAAGAAGTGCTGGAAGTGGATAGGACAGACATTGAGGAAAGCACCTAACTGCATCACAAGGAAAGCCCTCACTTGGGACCCTCAAGGTTAAGGGAGAAGAGAAGACCAAAGAACACATTACGCCGAGAAATGGAGACAGACATGAGAAGAATGAACAACAATTGTATAGAACTAGAAAGGAAGGCTCAGGACGGAGTGGGCTGGAGAATGCTGATCAGCGGTCTATGCTCCATTTGGAGTAACAGGCGTAAATAAATAAGTTAACTGTACTTTTGATATCTTATGGCTACGAAATTTCGTTACTATTCATAGAATAACATTCAGAAAAAACAATCTTCATTCTCAATCTATAGCATTACAAATATTTTAAACTATTGTAGCAACTATAGACAAACTGAAAACAACAGAAAATAATATATTTTCCCATGACTGGTTTATAACTTGATAGTTAAGGAATTCGGTTTTCAATAGATTAGGTTGCAAAATCGAACTCTTCTGTACTTAGTTTAGTTTGATCAGCCGTGTAATAATAAACTTAATTCTCACACAATATGGCTTAAAGCCGAGTACATAAACTCGTACTTGGTAAATGAATAACACAAGAACTTATTCGGTATGGTAAATTCGATAATACACATAGTAATTACTCACCAATTATGTGTACATTTGATCTTTAGTAAATGAACAATAAAAGTAATTATAATACTCTTAGATTTATAACGGAATAGGCGAATGAAAATTTTTGTTATGGGTGTGGCACAAATTTGTATGTATTTATTTATGCTAAGAAATGAAATACGGCAAAACTAGAATATACCCTTGAATTAAACAATCTGGACACTATTTAATTGTGACACATAAAAAGACAATAAATCAGATTTTATTTTTTTCACTAATTACAATTAATAAGTTACTAAGTATAGTGACGGATCCTTAAGTGTTCTTGTTCCTCCATTTTTTGACAACGGAAAGAGTCATACGCTTTTCTACCCCGACAATTCACTGCATTCAAAATTACAATTAATAATTTTAATATCAGATAGGTTTTGTGGATACCATAGTAATTTCAATGGTTAACGTCATGAGTCAGTTGAAGCTAGACCACTACAGAAAACCTGGAAACACTGGACGGCCGTTTCGTCCTATCGCGGGACTCCTCAGCAGTGCGCATCCACGACCTCGCCCCTGAGAGATTCGAACCCAGGGCCTATTGGTTTCGCGCGCGAGCACTTAACCACTAGACCACTGAGCCGGCATTCAACGGTGTTAATATCTAACTTCAACTAATCCACGAAATTGAGCTACACATCCACCATTGTCTTCAGTGAGTTACTATCTCACAACAGACCTAGTTGAACTCCACTGGTCACTACATCTCACTAGAACTCCAGGATATACCTCGTGAAGCCAGTCACTAGTGAGCATATGTTGATTAATATATATATCCAATATCATATTACATTTCAATACGAATAATATTGTAAGTAGTTGATAGGAGACTAGGAAAGAAAAATGAATTCATGATATTCTGCGTTAACTGTCATTTTCACTTTATTCACATTTATTAAAGATTGTTGTAAAAAAATCCAGTGCACAAATATTTGGTAATTGGCCGGAGATGAGCAAATGTATGATCAAAGTTGTCAAAATATGTTATCCCCACCAATAAGTCGCAAAACACAGTAAATTGATGGTCACAATAGCAAGGTAATAACCAGGTTAACTATGGATACGACTGTATATCAACTCCGCCGATCCGATAAACGATGTCACATATTTTGTACTTATGAACGCCTGGTTGAAATGACCAGAGATTGTCCTTATTGTTCTTCTGTCCACCAACAAAATCCTTTCAGTACAGGTAAATTTTCTATTGTAACTGATTGGAAGACACCTAAGTATCATATAATGGGTCACAATTCACAAAGTTCTGATGCTGTCAAGCTGTAAATCAAGTGTATTTGTCCCATATCATACACAGTCGAAATTACACCTCCAAGTAGGTGCTTCTACAAACAAAGGGAGGGGGTACAAAGTTTCTTATCTATCGATCGCATTTTGCCTAATAGCGCAGCTCCTAACAACTTAACCAAACTGGAAACCTTAATGGATCGAAACTTAAGGACTCACTATACCATGATGCCGTGGAGACGATCCGAAATCCAAGCTAATTTCCCAGCATTTGAAGTTCGTACACAAGAGTTTCCTTACAACTACGGGGTTCCCGTGACCAGTGGATATAAAGGTATATAACAATGAGGCAAGGATGGGTGTTTCGTATGACTTAGCTGTGAGAGAAATACTACTGAGCCGAATACAACCAAAACATACCCTTAGACATTTTGCTGAACACCTTCAGTTTACTAACCATGGAAAATTCAAACAACCTGGACGCCTAAGTCGGATTTACGAACAAGATGGTCCGACCAATGTAGATGGAAGACGGTACAAGTTCAGATGAACCGGGAAGAAGTTAGTTGTTAATTGGCGGCATGTTTTAGAAATGCTAAACCCCCAGACATAACGTATCAGATGGAATTATTTGTAAGATTATATATTAAATTACAGTGATTTTTGCGCGTTTGAATCCCAGTAAGCTTTTATTGCATTGTGACAATTTCTTCTTAATCACTGAATATAATTCGTACATAAGTGAAAGAATTTTCTTTGGTCGCTACTGAAAAAACCCCACAATATTCATTTTTGGATCAGCTGGAGGTAAGAAGAGAACTATGGTGTCCTGGTATTAAAATGTGGTCGAGTTATCGTTATTATAGTCATATCAGTAACATAGTAAATAACGGTGAGAAGTAATAGTGCCAGACAATAAACCAAACTGAAGTAAGCGGAGTGGAATCTTAATCTGATACTCTAAGGTTGAAACTTACAACCTTTAACAACTTCGTAAATTAAGTGTTGTAAACGTAAAACGGACACTAGATAAATTATTATTCATTAAAGAAAACAATAAACACATTTTACAAGATTGTATGCCGATTTAACTGTTAGATCACGGTGTAAGTAGTCTTAAAAAGAAACTATTGTAGTATAATAACTAAAAGTTACCTGATCTAGAATTGGGATATGATGAGGCAATCACAATAGCTGGTTTTCTAAGAGTGAGTGGTGTATTAGAGTTAACGAATGCAACTTTCGGAAACCAAGTTGAACTACCTGCTGATTCTTTTATTGATCCGGAAAAACGAGAAGCAGCTAGAAACCCGCAATGAGCAAAACGTGTAGAAGTGAATGTTGGTTTAAAACATGGCTTTAATTCATTAAATGAACTTTTCGTACGAAGGATGGATGCACCTGATTTCAGTGTTATTTGTCCACAACGGCGATATTTCGACTTCAAAGAAAGACAAGCTGATATTGGCCTAGATGGATAGTTCGGGTTAACTGTTGTGGTTAGATGGTTAACATGAGATGGTAGTCGTATTATTTCAGTTCTTTTTGCAGAAGATAATGACGATACAGGTACCGAGGTAGGGATTTTAGCTGAAGATTCATTTGAGTTTGAATTAGATGAGTCAGTCGATCTAAGCTGTTTTATTTGGACATAATCATCAGATTGATTTGTAGCACAGTTATTTGACGAAAACAAACTGCATGCATCCACTTCTGAATCGGAAGGATTTATCTGTGAAGAATCTGAATAATTAGATTCAGTGTGAAATAATGGTAATGGAATATGAAGATCGGAAAGCCTCTCCAAAGAAACATCATCACCATCAATGATATCGTGACTGGTTACATGATTTTTGTCAAACACTTCATCTATACTATCTGATGAAGTTACTCCGATGTCATTAGGGATCGATAATGGACTATCGGGGTTACATAAATAGGCTTTATCAGTTATCTCTTCAGATCCATCATTCCACGGACATTTACTATGTTTCTGTTCATTGGAAAAAGAATTTTTATCATGGAAAACATCGTGTTCCTTATTACCTACAAACAAACAAAATATATATAATAAACTAAAGCGAAATAATATTTGATACACAAAAAGATGACTCCAAATGCCCTGGTTAGACTGAGAGTGTGGAAGGTCATCTCTCCCTCTCGAAATGCTCTCACATGGTCACGTGCATACAACCACTGCCATGAAAGTCCTACTCACTGCCTTCTCGCACCACGGGTGTTGTTTACGAAAGTGAGAAGACGAAAAGCGAGTGTCCGGTGCTTTAACCGGGTTGGTGGATTCACCTAGGGGAGTTGGGAAACCCTGATTTCAAACCAATGGTGCACACGAGCTCCGGGATCCTGAAAGAAAAAACGGCATACGAACCAACTATTGGTCACCGGCCACCATGAGACTGTATCTCCTAACGTTGCTAAACTGCCTTGTGGATCAGACCTCTAGGTCAAATGCTCGGGGTGTCACACCCTAAGAAAACCACCTGGTTCGGTCTGGGTACCCGGACAGTATCCCAGCCCTGACATAAATCGAATGATTTATGTATTTATGTATGTATGTATGTATTTATGTATTTGGTGCCTCCTTGTACCAACGTTTATGTGTTTAAATAATAATAATGATATACAAAAGGATACAAAACCAGATGAAGAAAAAATTGCGCCTGAAAATATTATTGCGACTCAATACTAACTAAAGAACCAGGAAATATTAAGCAAACCTAAACAGTTGATTTATGAACGTTTAAGACCTCTAAACAAGTCGACAGACGATAATCGCGAACTACATATGACATGGAAAATCACAGAAACAAGAGGCTACGTCTGCGCTTATCGTTAAAGAACTATTGAAAGGAGCTGAGCTGTCTATGTTTTATTCAGTCTAAGTGTTGACAGAACTAAAATTTACGTGATTAAATTTTACACTAATTAAGCCAGTATTTAAACTTCCTATAGTTCTGTAAAATTCGTTATGTTGTGACAGTTCAGATTTATAAACTTTCATAAGTCTTACATTTGATCTATCAATAACGATTACTCAGAGATAAGTTCGATGATTATATTGGACCATTTGTGGTGCTGAGTGTAAATAACACCAACACTAAGTAACTAATGAGGTCTAATAACGTCTGACAAACAATACAGGATCTGGGACAAGTATGTTTCTAGGGCAATGGTCACAGTTTATACTATTGGTGAGAAAAGAATCATTATACCAGTTGTCGTGTGAACCTAACTATAGGAAATCTAGTTTAAATGGGAAAAAACCGGACAAAAAATCTGTAAAATAACACCACGTTCAAAGTTAGGAGAGAACAAGAAATAAATAAATCTGTAAGACAGAAATCGGCCTTGATCTATGCTAATTAAGCAGGTAGTTCCCTGTACAACTTAAATGAGCAAACTCACTAATTGGTACGGTTTAGTGTGACCGAAAAACTCATTGATGGTGCTGTCAAACACCCACCACTTCGATTAGTTCTGACTTTGGTGTGACTATGCTTGTTTTCCGATCACAAACCTTATTGACTTATTTGCTAGGCTCTAGTTACTAATTAGTAAGTGATATTTTTGTCGCTTCATTTTCTCCTTTTAACGGTTTGAACTGATTTCTGTTTATGCACTAACTGTATTAATTTATGTTTCAGAAACGGATTTAAGTGTTACAAACCAAACAACTTGCTTGTTTAGACTTCGGTCATGCCAAGACTATGAAAGTCTAGGAACTTATCAGAAAATTCATCTGTAGGGAAATTAAATCCTACATATTCCATGTTGACTCTGGGCAGCAGACTTTTACTAACGTTCTCTATGAAAGCCGAAGTACCATGTCGACATGATAATAAAAATTTAAGTCTGGAGAATTATAAAATGGTTGGTGGTAAACAGAATGAACTGGAGTGCTGTTATGTGGACGTGGATATCTGGCTAATCTTACTCTGGAGAAATATTTTCGGAGTAATTTGAAAAAAGAACTAGACTGTGATTTACAATCTCATTAAATCGGAAGCGTAACCACAGGGTTAAAAGGTCAGTCAGTCAGCTGAACTGAGAGCAGATATGAGTGTCGTCTTTTCCCGAGATAGTCTCACTTACATTTGGCTTATTGATTCCAGTTTCTTTTGTTGGTCTGTAGAGCTGTCTTGTGTTACCTACAGCCGCCGCCTTTTTCATCTCTTTTGCTTTTGTTGCCCACCACTGCTCACGATCATTCCTTAGACTTTTGCTTAACCTAGATCTGATATGTTTTCGCTCTTCATCGTGTTCAGAGCCTGATGGGATGAGTTTACGAGAATCTATCGGTGCAATAGACTTAGTAAGAATCCATTGGGTTTAAATCACTAATAGATGTCTCTGTTGCTTCCGCAGCTGTTCGTATATCTTTTCAAGCAACATCTGGGTCAACCTCGTTTTCAGAACTACCTAAGTATGACCGCAGTTGTTCCTGGAGTCTACTTTTGGCTTCCTCGTCACTAAATTTGACGCTAATGGATCTTCTTAATGTGGTTTTTCTGCATCCAGCGAGGCGCAAGCACATGCGTACTCGTGTTAGAGCATGATCCAAACAGATATACCAGAACAAGCGACAGTCTTCTGTCGAGCCTCTCCAACGATGATTGATGGCAATATGGTCGAGTTCATCGTTAGTTTGGTGTAGGAGTAACCATGTTAGACAATGTTTCTCCTTATTCTTAAAATTGGTGTTTGCTAAAAAATAAACGATTGTCTGAGCACAGTTGCAGCAGATGATTATCATTATCTGCTCACTTAGCCGGAATATTAAAATAAGCACCTGTCTTTTTGATCGATTTAAGCTATCTACCTGGGTATTAAAGTCACCTGCACTTAGTATTGTGTCTAAGTGTTTAGCTTTTTGAAGAAGTTCAGGAAGCTTTCTGTAAAATTTATCTTTCACCTCAATGGGAGCGTAGGCAGGAACGACGAAAAGGCAACGACGTGTGTCCCTATCCTTCCAATTTCTTACGGAGCTATTTAGACGAGCAGCACATAGGCGACTGTTCACAGGGATCCATTCTAACAGTGCTTGTTCTGCCCTCGTACTTAGTGCTATATCTACACCCGCCAGTTCACGAAAAATAGCCACTGGGCCGCCATATAAACGGAGGGTGTATCTCGTCGGCTCTCCGTTTTGGCGGGGTGAGGTCTAGTGAATGATCACACTAGGATCCTGTATGCGTGTTTTTGGAGACACCGTATACGTCAATAACACGAAACTTTAGGGTCTTAGCCAAGAATAGCTGCTAGCTGATTTGACATACAGCGTGTACGTTGAAGACTCTAATGTGTAGTTTGGAGCGAGGTTTCAGTAGACCTGGGACAGTGTTCCGCGGTGATCTCAGTGACCTGAGAGCGTGACAGCACTGTCCAAAGAGCAACTGTTTGAGGTCGGGCACACACGACCTTTTTGTGGGTGATTTTCGTGTTAGATCTGTACTTGTTGGGACCTTACCACTGGAGACGGAAATCCGTGAGATAAGGCGAGGTGTGCAGTTTTAGGATGGACCTTTTTTAACCCAATCTCTGTATGTGGGAAGGCAGCATAGCTGTTATGCTGGTTGTCTGAAGGAAACCCCTTGCTGCCGTCACACCTCTGTACAATCAGCAGTACGACTTCGCCCTCAGACCTTGGATTAGCTGCTTTTAGTCTGATCGCTCTTCAACAGATAAGTCCGGCATGAAAGAACCTTGAGGAACGATTGTTCCAGTCGGTATAGGTCGATTGGTTTATCATGGTAGGCAAGCCCGACTATCACGTCAAGGTAGCAGCAACAGTCGGGAGCGTTAAAAGGACGATTACTTGATATCGGCTAAAATACTTTCTTGAATAACTGTTTTGACTTCGTACTACTGATTTCTAAACCTACATTCGTTGATCATCACGCGTATATGAAGTTAATTTACTCATGATATACTAAGCGATTGTTTTCAGTGACAGAAACTGATTGGGTGTTATTTAGACAAATGTGCTCAGACCTAAATTTCAGCTAGTCTTAGAATATTAAGATGACCTGAACTAAGGTAAATTAGAGGTAAAGATTGACAGGAAAATGACAGCAGAGAAGATCAATATATACAGATGTGCCTCAATTACACCATGCTAGTTACGGTTGCCTTACGTAAACCCATGCGTTAATTTAGTTGAGCCACTTGGAAAAAACGAGATAAGGAATATCTTTAGACATCTCTCGTAATGGACGGATTAAACAAAATCGCATCGAAGTTAAATGCCGTTTTCTTTCCAAATTTATTTCATTGTATTATACTCCTTGAATAACATCTTCAAGCCCTAATGTTTCCGATTACTGCTTATACTCTTACAACCTCTACCACTACGGAATTGTAGTCGACAACTGTGCTAATGTGGTGTAGCGACTCGAACTGACGTACGTACGTACGAAGTTCTACGTTGTTACTAACTGACTGACTAAATGCCGTTTGGCATTTATTTTAAGCGCATCTCCATAGAAAATGTGCTGAATAAATTAATACTTCGCTACAATCAAGTAACTGAATGTTTTAAAAATACAAAACTACTTAAATAAATAGGGACTGAGCAAAAGGATGATGCCGCACAGTAGTTAACAAAGTCAGGCTGTTGAATATTGAAACTGAGTAGACATAAATACCGCTATTAGCAGTTTTATCAAAAATAACACTTTTTCAGAAGCTGTCTTTTTTTGTCACGCCACCCGATTTAGGTATCAGGCCCTTAGTTACCAACCACATAGTTTGCAGGCTTTGATTTAATTGCTTTGGGCTCTACTCTTGACTTTACTCATGAATAGTTTGATACAATAAGAATGGACCACATTTTCTAAAAACACTTGTTTTACAGGAAACATTGAGTCTAATCATTGCATTGCTCACATAATTGCTTTATCATGGGAATGTGACGATAAGACATCAGGAGTAAAAAATGCAATCCTTTCAAACGGGAAAAGATATCAAACCTGCGTGTGCCGACTCATAACAGGAATATACTGACATACAGGTCCTTGCCGAGTAGTCTGTTCCTGAAGGAGGTAGTGTCTGCACCTTCAACTAACTTGCTTAAGACACCAGGCGTATGTAAAAGCTTGCTCGAGAAGAACTCATATCAGTCTTCAGTCTTCAAAGTACAGGTCCGAAATATGGATCAGCGTGCACTAATATAGGCATCAAACAGCTATCAGTCACACAAACATGTTCAACCACTATTCAATGACGGACCAATGATTTATAAATTAATTTAACGTCCTACATGGACATTGCAATGGGTTTATGAATAGAAGATAGTGTTAAAACAGATACATACCTTTATCTTTATGACTGGTACTGATTCGTGAACTCTTGGCAGAGAATGGTCCAAACCTCCTTGAAAGTCCTTCCATGTATGGTGGTTGATCAAGATTTGACGCGAAATGTTCTTCACCAATAACTTCTTCACGTACATCTAAAAGGTCCGCAGAGTCCATCAAAAATAGAGCACCATAAGAATCATTATTAGGTATTTCTGGGTATATTTCCACATTATCGAGTGAAAAATCAGACTGGAGATCAACATTGGAGTAACAGTTGGTAGAAAAGTCATTGTTAAGTTCATTTTTTATTGAGGAATCATCGAAAAACGAATCAATCATTACTTTGGCAACACACTTAAGCGCACCGCGGAAGATACGGTAGCATATTCAGTTTTCAGTTTCAGTTTCCAGTCTCAGTTTTGAGTTGGGAAAGAACGGAGGCCAAGTGGCCCGTGTTAGTCTTGGAAATGGTAATATCCCAGTTGAATCAACTTTTTTGAAAACATCGACAGAAGGAGAATAAATCATATGTTGGGGCAATTAATTATACTAGTTAATTATTCGATAGTCAGCTGACAAGTAATTTGTTCTGGGCTTGCGAACGTTTTTAGAGTGTCCCCGTAAATTTTCTGTCTTGGAAGACGAGGAAAGTAAGGGCATAACAGATCCAAATCTGTTATTATTAATTTAAAAACTGTTATCAAATCGCCTCTGGTTCTTCTATTTGACAATGGGAATAGGTTTAGTCTTCAGTCTTCAGTAATAAGGATAGTAGGTTGGTGAACCTGTATTAATCCTGACACATTGCTTTCCAGTGAAGGTCCAGCTTCTCTCTGAAAGTATTCACTGATGGGGCTGATACCACTTGTTCGGGTAAGGCATTCCAATCATTGACTACTCGATGAGAAAAACGGGACCCCACTTTAAGTTTATTAGATCGTGGTTTATGAACCTTCTTGCTATGACCTCGGAGATTATTAGTGCTGGAGAGAGCAAAAAGATAAGACATATTAACACCCAAATCATAATTAAAGATACGAAATGCCAGTATAAGGTCACCTCGTGTCCTACGATACGACAAGAGGAAAAGATTTGGGCGTTTTAAACGGTCATCGTAAGGGAGTCTAGAAAGACCCTCCATTAATTTCGTTCCTACACGCTGGACACGCTCAAGGGAGTTAGTATCCTTTACCAGACACGGGCTAGCTGCTTGGATACAGTACTCTAAATGTGGTCTAACATATATGGGATATAAAATTCGAAACGTTTCCTCGTCAAAAGATTTGAACGCTCGGCGAAGTGACCATAACGCACGAAAACCTTTGACGGCGGCTGCTTTGCAATGCGTACTTGTTTTTAAATCATGACTTAATACTACTCCTAAGTCTTTATGCCCTTGAACTCAAGGAAGAGGTTTATCCTGAATAGTGTAACGGTAACTATTACCGTGACCGATGTGCATTAGTACACTCTTCCTAGCATTGATTTCTAAGCCCCACTCTCTAGCCCATCTAACTAAATCGTCTAAGTCAGCTTGAAGATTCAGATGATCAGCCGCACTTTTTATTGTTCTCCAGATTTTTACATCATTCGCAAACAATAATGTCGACAACCTAAGTAACAGCGGTAACTCATTAACGTAGAGAAGTATAATGTTTTGAATTATTTGAATTATAGCACGAACTAAGAATCCAAGAAATAACGCAATTGAATTAAGAAGACACAAGCACAAACGAATGTTCTGTATTTGGAATTCGAAATCGTACAATCAACCAGTACAATAGTATAATTAGTTCGTTCAAACACCACATCCGCCACAGCTTAAATTGGAGTCTAGGTGTTTGTAATCAATCGTACGTCTTCTTCTCAAATTCATCCTGGGTCTGTCTGCCATTATATTCCAAAAGGATTCTGTATTATCTAGAATTTGCTCATTAGCATTAGAATTAACGACGGAAATTGGAACAGACTCACCTGGTTCCTTAAATTGTATTTGATCAACATGTCGACTGTGTGTACTTAAGTCATTGATGTCTAGAATTCGCACCATCGATTTTCCGACATTTTTCAGAACATTACCCGTAGATGGTCGAAGATCATTTCCCCGATAGTTTGTAACTTCTGCAGATTCCAAACATCTCATATTCGACCGAAGAATTCTTCCTTTCAATAGCTTCGCTGGAGTCTCCTTCGTCACCGAATGTCTGGCATTTCTATATTGCAATAGAAAGGTATCTACTCACCTCTCCAGCTCATTAAATGTTGAGGCGGCTATAAAATCAATAGCAGTCTTTAATGTCCTGCAAAATTCTTTGCCTGACCATTAGAACACGAATTTCTGGGAGCAGTAAACAGATGTTTGCACCCTATACCGTTCAACCAGGTAGTGACCGCATCTGCAGCAAAGTGAGAACCATTGTCAGTCACTAACACCATAGGAACCCCTTCTCGACTAAACACCTTTCTTAATGCTTGGATTGTGAAGTCAGAATCAGGTGAAGTTGTAAAAAAACTTCAGGCCATTTTGAAAAAGAATCAATAACTACTAGTGCATAGTATTTACCAAAAAACGGACCACAATAGTCAGCATGAATTCTCTGCCAGGCCTCAGACGATACTGGCCATGGCGTCCACTTTGAAGGATGACTTTTCAACTGATGACATTTCTCACAATTGTTTGCTGTACGACATATATCTGCAATTATCTCTGGCCACCAACATGTGAGCCTTGCCAAGGACTTCATTTTCTCAACACCTAAATGACCACTATGAAGATCTTCAAGAACAGATTTACGCAATGAAGGAGGAATGACAACACCATCATTTTAAACACAGAATACCATCAGGAGTAGTAGATAGCTCATCCCTCTTTAAAAAATAGATAGGAAATCTACGTTTCAAATTAGCAGTCCAGCCTTTTCGTATAGCACTGAGTATACATCCAAAATATCTGCGAGTTTCTCTAATGAGATCTGGACGTCTCACTGGTAAAGGTTGCACTAACAAACAGTCCGAAGTATTATTAGGTCGATCTTGTAATGACTGTCGAGAAATGTAGTCAACATGTTGAATTTGTTTGGCATTTCTGTGCTGAACCGTATAGTCATATGCACTCAAAGCAATACTCCATCGTTGAACCATAGCAGCTGAGGAACGTGCTAAGGATTTTTCAGGATGATAAATAAACTTTAAAGCTTCATGATCAGTAACAATAGTGAATTTCTTTCCGAATAAATATTTATGAAGTCTTTTAACAGCCCAAAACACAGCTAATGCTTCTCGCTGAGTCTGTGAATAACCTTGTTCAGTAACCTGAGTTTGCGTGAAACACAAATAACTGGTCTACCTTCCTGTTCCAAAACTGCACCAATTCCTACAGGTGATGCATCAGTAATAAGCACAGAATGTACACTAGGGGAGTACGTTCGAAGAACAGCATCACTTTGAAGAAACTTTAGTAGATTACGTAAGCATGACTCTTGTTCCTCACTCCATTTGAATGAATTGGATGTCAAAATATTAAATAAACAATTTGCACGACAAGAAACAATTAGGAATCAAACGGGAATAGTATTGAAGAGCACCCAGTAGTGAACGTAATTCCGTAAGATTTTTTGGAGACGGAGCATTTGTCAGTGGAGCTAGTCGTTTCATATCTGGTCTAAAACCATTACCATCAACTAGGTCTCCAAGGCATTCAAAACTAGATACGCAAAATGAACACTTATTTGGATTCACTGTAATATTCTTCTCAATTAAACGACGCAATAAAGCAATAAGTCTCTGGTCATGAACTACCTTATTAGAACCATGAACAATGACGTCATCTTGATAAACTTCAACACCTTCAACATCACTAACTACTTTATTCATAACTTCCTGAAATATGGCTGGAGAACAACTTAGACCAAATGGAAGAAAATTGTATTTGAACAGACCAAACGGAGTGTTAATTGTCGTCAAAATAGATGAAGATTGATTTAAAGGAATTTGAAGATAAGCATCTTTTAGGTCAACTTTCGAGAACACTTTAGAACCATGAAGTCGATTTAGAATATATTCAGCCTCCATCGTCGTGCACGTTTGCTTCAACAAATTTCAAGTTCTTGAATGAAATAATGGACTCTATACTGCCTGTGTCCACAATAAAGTCATGAAATGAACCAAGCGATGTATATAGTCGCTTTTGAATATGAGCATTACCTTTCGAAATAGTAGACAGAGATAAATGATCGCTAGAAACATCCGAATTATTTAGATTTAAATGACGAGATTTAGTACTACTTGAAGCAAAATGGACAGTAGCTTTGCATACTGACTTAATGTGTCCTATCTTACCACATTTAAAGCATTTAGGATTACGAAATGCACATGAATTACGAGGATGAAACTTTCCACATGATAAACATTTACCAAACTTCATCTCACCTTTGTGATTTACTTTGTAATTCCTTGTTGAAACACCTTTCATATTTACACGAAAATACGATTCACCGTTAAATGAACGCAAGTTCGATTGACCCTGAGATTGTAGTTCATCAGGACGACTAAGCAAATTATTAGAAATCTTCATCGACTGGATATCAAGTTCATACACGCAGTTCTAGCATCTTGAATGGAACAGTTTGGCATTCTTAACAGCTCTCTTTCCAAACTCGTATGTTCCTGCAATTCCTGCAATTAATCGATCTCTCAGTTGTACATGAAGTTGATCACCGAAATTACACTTGGCAGCTTGTTTCTGCAATTCAAGGATGAATTCCCGAACTTTTTGATCATTTTGACGAACCATCTTATGAAATTTCGCCCTTTCACGGCATTCAAAACTGGTGCATTTTACATGACTTTAAGAGTTGCATAATGAAGTGAGATAGGTTTTTCTGGATATGCCAAAGTCTTTATTAAGCTGTAAGTTTCTCTCCCAATGAATGTCAGGAAATGTGCCACGATTTTATCACCTTTGACATCTTTCTTAGTCATGCTCCAGATTTTAAACCTTTCCAAATAATCCTCAAATGCTTCCGAAGTTGAATGAATGTCCAACTTTTCCATTGCAGGTTCCATCACGACCTCAGTATAATGTTTTGAATTATTTGAATTATAGCACGAACTAAGAATCCAAGAAATAACGCAATTGAATTAAGAAGACACAAGCACAAACGAATGTTCTGTATTTGGAATTCGAAATCGTACAATCAACCAGTACAATAGTATCATTAGTTCGTTCAAACACCACATGAAGGTAGAACAGAGGGCCTAAGACGGTGCTGGGGTACACCACTTTTGACCGGCTTCTAATCGGATAGCTTTTCGTTGACCCTCACTCTCTGTCTGCGGTCACATAAGAAATTTCTTATCCACTCATGTTTAGTACCTATTATTCCGGAGC